GGCTTCGGTTCTGTCTTTTTATTAGTATTTGCATAATTTTTCACAAATTTGCTGTTACAGTATAACAATATATTTTAAGGCCTGTTTGCGTAATTAAATAATTAATTTGTAAATGTACTATGATTGTGCAGATCATTATAAGTGATCTCAGATTTTTAGTGTATTTTGATTACGAGGCACAGTTGACCCCCCCATTCCATCTGACTCTTGCAGGTTCAGACGCGGAGTGCCGATGAACCGATGACCACATTTGTAGCCTGCAATGAGTGTGGAAACCGGTGGAAGGTAACCTGCCAGCACTTGACCATGTTGACCGTGTTCTTGTAAAGAGTCTCATTTTAATCTATGTCTGTGCTGTGATGGTGCCAGTTGGATGGCTGTGTTAATGCTGGGAAACATATGGGCCGTGGATGACGTTATGTAATTTTGTACCAAAGGTGGTCAGGATACTAAAAGAAACACTGCCGTGTGAATCTACAGATGTTGTTCATTGATTGGCATGTAGCTCAGCAGGTTAAGGATCAGTGTTCATGCCCAGAAGGTTATGGGCTCAAATCCTATATGCAGCAGATAAACCTTGTCACAGTAGGGCCCTTGAACAATGCCCATAAAAAGTGGTATTTGATAACTGCCCAATTTCTGCAGAGGGATGAATTAAGGACCTATTCTGTTCTAATACTGTTTCATTTTGTTTTGTATTTCCTTTGCAGTTCTGCTAGTCCCAGGTCAAGATTTCATCTAGATGTACGATGGCAGATTCCCCGAACCAGATGTCTAGTTTCTCCCAGCTTCCGTGGAAAGGGGGGGGGGAGGCCGAACGTTTCTGCTTCCAGTCGACCCTGGCGCTCGGTGAAAGCGGCAGGACCGGAGGCAGATGGGGTCACGCCCCCAGTCCGCTCCTGCCCTGCCGTTTTTACTGCCAGGTTAAACGGCCACAGACGGAAAACATGCCCATATACCTGTGTTTGTAACAGAACCATCATGTCCAAAATCCTGCTTCCCATCTTTTAAGTCCTCATTAGATTTAACTGTCAGACTACAACTGATGTTAATGTTTTTTTTTTCTTTTTTATATGTAGTTTGACATTAAATTTTTGATCAATGCTAACCTCTCTGTTTTGCTTTGGTTTTCTTTGGGGGGGGGGCGGTATTTAGCATATGTTTTAGTGGATTTGGATGGGTTTGCCTGTGACCGGAAGGCTGGTGGTTCAAATCCCAGGGTCATCAGAGTGATTTCAGTATGCCCTTGTTTAAGGGCCCTTAACGCTCAGTGACTTCAGGGACTGGCTGACCATGCTGTCTCTCTAAAAATAAAGCATGCATGTCACTTTGGGTAAAAGTATCTGCTACATAAATAAAAAGCGATGTACAACATGGGTAAATTTACCCATTTTTAATACCTCGGATTTAACTATGGAGGTACGGAGCATGTACCAGTGTGAGGTTTTTTCCAGAGGCTGGAGGGCCAATCCTGCCACCAAGCCCCATATTATTCCCTGTAAGTCAGAGGACCTCTTTATAGGGCTGGATGTAGATTAATGTCATATCCAGGATGAAGCAATTGCAGGTTAAGGGCCCAATGGAGTAGAACCACTCTGGGCATTCATGGGATTTGAACCAGCAACCTTTTAGTTGCTGGTACAGAGCCCTAGCCTCAGAACCACCACTCCATCCGTAACTATGGGCCCTAGGATGAAACGGCATGGCTTCAGACTTTGCTCATTTTTATGAGCAAAAAATAATGTAACATTGCAGTCCACTAGTCTATAAAACAGTCTATGCAGATTACTGAAATGAAAAATTACAAAGTGGAAAATTAAAGATTTAATGACGTCTGGTCTGTGAACCAGTAGACCGCTAGCCTAATTATAATAGTAATTTGACCAGTTAGCTGCTTGTTTTAAACCAGTAGTTAAAACCAAAGAAATGTTTTACAAACATTTTTATAAATGCTCTAACACCCTTTTGAGATCATACTGTTTAGTATACTAGTATAGTTTCCAGTTCCAACATTTTTACATATGTGGGTGAGCATAAAATCCTATTTCTACCCCAAAATAAGAATGTTATTTCCCATGACACAAAAACGTATCGAGTGTTGGTTTCGTCAGTTTAAAAAAGGAGCCGAGATTAAACGCAAACCTATTGTCATGCTTAATACACCGCATGATAAAAGCAGCGGATTGTGGGATATATTTCCCCCCGTGCATGTTAACAGCTTACGGAGTATGCAAAACCCCATTTAAAACCGCATTTCGAGGGCTGTGCATTTTACATAATTGATACGGAGGAGGGGCATGTCGCCCCCAATAGACGCTTTTGTCCTGATCCCAGGTGCATGTGCTTCAGCTCGTCGTGACCTTCTGTGGTAAGAGAACCCTGCGGTCTCCGGGGAATAACATTATTATTAAACAAATAATCTCATTCGTTTATTTACAGGGCTATTTTCATCAAAGACGTCTTCCCGTGAAAATAGCGGACGTCTATAAAAAAACCCGCCTCGTACATCACGTGATGTACAAGCATAATATTTCCCAATATACACATCAGGCGTACCTAATATTGCGGGTTGTTTTCCCCTTTTTATTTTAAATTAGACCCATGTTTGCGATCCACGGTTGGCGTGATGTGCCCCTTAAAGGTAATCCCTGGTCATCTGTTACCCATTCTAAGCCGAAACCTTGCAAAAGCCGAAAACCCCACCCTCGGTTCGGTGCTCGCTGAAGCAACAGGTCCGCACGGCGGGGGCGGAGGACCGACCCCGAAAGAAGCGCGCCTCGGATGTCTGCTTGGAAATTTAATTTTAACGTTAGATATTTAACTTTACGATAATTGTCAGTATTTGCATATTAGAATCATCATTTAGTTTACCATCAAACTGTCAACGCGGCTTGCAAGACAATCGGTAAGAAATAAAACTGGATAAAATTACTGTGCTTTATTATATATACTTCAAGAACAGAATTGTCTACGGTATTTCAGTTCTATGTAAAATATAAATTAAATATTATAAACACATACAGCTTCAATACAAATGATAAATTCATTTTGATTTTAAATACATTTATGTCAATAACAATGAAAATAACTCTCTTGCCCCTATATTTCCAATTGCACATGTTAAGACGAATGTAAGCACCAGAGGACCACCTCGGTTTTCTTGTGGCAAGAAAAAAACACATTCAAACGAGGCGTAGATGCAGACGGTTCGTAGCGAATAAAAAGGCACGTGCCCGGTGTAGCTCTTCGTGGGAAAAAGTCCAAATAAAGTCCAAATAAAGGAAAGGCCGAATAAAGGAAAGGCCCCCCAGCAGAGTAATTCATAGCCAGGCAAAGGGTAACTAACATATATGGCCTTTCTCTTTTCATTGATACAAACACGTTAAGTGTCAACTGCGCCCAGAAACAATGCTTTGAGTTATGACGAATTTGCTCTGAATCATGAAGGAATATATGCAATTATAATATAATATAATATTTATCATTATCATTATTATTAGTAGTAGTAGTAGTAATAGTATTATGTTTAGTCCCTGAACCAAACAGACAATAAGTGGAATGGTTCATAGTCAAATGTAATATAAATGGTCATTCAAAATCCACTATCCTTTTTAAAATACAAATACTATTCTGGGAGGTGTTGTCACATCTATCATGGAGTCAAGGTGAAATGCACACAAGAAAGATTTGATATCTTATAAATATGCCTTTCAGGCCATATTCCGGTATCTTCCGAGAACGGTGCCTTGTCAGACTGATTCTTCCCGTTCAGCTCACAGACATTAAGAACCATGTCAAAATTCCCATTTCTAAACACCGTAAGAACAAAAGCACCGAAGACACAACCTACAAGTTCACTTTCCACGATTTTAACAACTCCTTTCTCACTTCGACCCATAACGAAAAATACGTAACGTGGAACAAAAACAGAGATTTAAAAAAAGAGGTTTGTTTTGTCCGGATCATCCTTCCGTGCAAATCCAGGACAGCTCATAATTGGGAGGCAACGAAGCCTGTGGTCATGGTACAGGAATATCCAGGCCTGGAATCACCCTTTCATCATATAACTCAAGCCAACGTTTTGGCGGGAAGATTTCCCTGGATGGACAGAGAGGTCCTTTCTGTCAGTCTACTCCGAGAGAGTTAGGGACAACAGCCAGTGAAAGAAGGCGGGGCCTACGATCTGGGCCCCTTCTCCACGAGCCCCTGGAGCAGGTCAGCGTAGGCCGGGGAGGCCATGTAGCGCGGGTACGAGTCCCGTTGCATCAGGGTGTAGATCTGAAACTGGGCGTCGTCGAATGTGCAGGACGAGGGCTCCAGCATGTTCCGGTTGATCATTTCTCGGACCCGGGAGTCCAGGCTGACCTGCGTCCCGGGGAGAGGAGAAATGTACATGTCACTGTTGGGCCCCTGAGCAAAGTCACTTTAGATTAAAGCATCTGGTAAATAAATAAAGCATCTGGTACAGGGTCTGTCGGCACCCCTGGACCTTGCTCACTGGCCTAGCAGAAGTGGGGTTACTCTGCCAAGTATGAGATTCAAACTAGCAACCTTCCGATTACAGATATCTAAACCACTGAGCTGCACATCATTTTCCAAATTACAGAAGAGACATTGGCCTGAACCAGAGACCATGAGTGTATTGATTTATACTCCTGCGTTTACTCCACATTGTAAGTATAGTGGTACCTCGAAACTCGAACTTAATCGGTTCAGAACTCCAGAACGAATTCTAAAAAGTTCGAGTTCTGATTGAATTTTCCCCATAAGAAATAATGGGAAACCAATTAATTGGTTCCCGGCCCCCAAAAATTATACTTAAATATGTTTTTTTTAGCATTTAAACACAAAATGAACCGGATAAATCAAGAAGAGCATATACTGTACTAAACACATCTAAGCACATTTACCGAAACAGTAATTTGTAAAGTAAGAAAATAAATGTATCCAAACAATGTGTAAAGTTAAAAAAAAAAACAATGTGTCCTGCCCCGATCGTCCGCTCCTTCCGTGTGCCACGCCCCCTCGTTAACCCCGTGTGGAATCCCCGTGTGATCAGCTGTTTCTGGTTGTTGTCATTAGTCCTCTGTATTTCGGTTTCAGTTTGTTTCCCCAGCTCGGTCATCGTATTGTCCGTCTGTGTTTTGTCTGCCTTACCACACCGCGCGCGGGAACTGTGATTGGTCCACTTGGTGGCATTCATTTTTATATGGGAGTGAAGATGGTGTAGATCCCGGATGTACGCACAGACGGTCCCCGGGTTACAAAGGGGTTACGTTCAGATAAACCTCCAATAATGTGAAAATATCATAAGGTAAAAATGCATTATAATACAGTACACCTAACCTAACAAACATCATAGCCTAACTTAGCCTACCTCAAACATACTTACATTAGTCTACAGTTAGGCTTTTTGTTGATGCTTTTGCCCATTTTGTAATAAAGTGTTGAATATCTCGTGTATCTTTTAGAATAATGTACTGAAAGTGAGATACATTTACTCATCGTAAAGTTCAAATATCCTAACGTGGATCATCGTAACCCAGGGAGCATCCGTACGTTTCTGACTGAAACTGAAGTGCTATTTATATCCAGCTTTAAATATCCCACCCTAGGCGTCATAGCAACAGGTCTGGTGGTAACTGAGCCAGTTTCACTTACCTCCATTAAGTTTATTCTTTACAAGACTTAAAGTAAAAAGTAGTATAGACAATTTTTTTTCCAAATTTGTCTACAGGAAGTTTGGAGCAGCACAAATATAACCAGGACTTGATAAAAGGCACCCCACTGACCTCTTTGGGTGAGAGAATAGAGATGTAGTCTTCGTATATGGTCCGGACCTTCTCCTTGATGGCGCCCTCCCTTGTCTCCTTCTTGAGGTCCTCACAGGCCAGCCAGAAGAGCATGTTCTCCTCACTGAACTCCGTCCTGAGGAAGCTGCGGAAGGCCTCCCTCCCAGCGGGGCAGCTCATCATCCTGTCAAAGGACTGCCCCCAGGAGCATGCCTCCTCCACGGTGAGCTCCGTGCTGGGGGGGTAGGCGGGGGACAGACACCAGGACACCTTGGACACGGTGCACACAGTCTGGCCAACGTGGGATATCATATTAGGGGCAACAGTGAGATATCACCCGTGGGATTCGAACCCACAACCATCCGGATATGGGCACAGATCCTTAACCTACTGAGTGGACACACCGTGAAGCAGAATCTGAGAGAAAAACTTTGTAAGTGGGATCTCTATGAGGTATTTTCACAATTTTAAGTCCCCGACTTGACAGTGGTTTGAAAACCAGCCTCATTCAAGCTTTTCACAAATGAAACTTGTTCTGCCGCAGAAAGCTGTAGCAGAGCTGTGCTACTGGGGTCGGACACAGGGGGCGCTGTCGGACTGACCTATCCTCGCAGTTTGCTGCCTCCTCTATCTTGATGTTGCTGGGCTCTCCCTCTCCTCCATCTCCGTTCTGCACAGTGAGACTGCAAGGCAACAGACGTTTGATTGGAGGGAGAATGCTGTGTGTTCTGTATGCCATTTCCCCCGCAACAGCCCCTCCTGGAAGCACTCCCACAGTGCATGTATTACACCCAAAATACAACCCACAGCCAATAGGGGGCACCAGAGCACTCATGGTCACAGACACGTAGGCTGATGCTTGCTGGTTCAAGTCCCCCATATGGTACGTCACTGACCTACGCATTAAAGGATTTGAACCGCCTTGTTAATGCAGCATTGCCATGGTAACAGTACATTTATTCATGGACCATAGCTCCATGTCTTACCCCCTATTTAGCGCGGTGTTTGATCATGCAAACATCCCTCCCCATGTGCAGTGATATTTAGGCTGGGAGCGCCGGTGCTTTTCCACCAGAACATGCAAACACCTATTCTTGCAAGGGGCGAGGCTTCAAGTGAAGAAGTGAAGCCCCCCCCCAACCTGGGTAATTAATCCAGCCAGCTTTGCAGCAGCTGGGGAGTCCACTTGAGTGTAATGAGATTACGACTCCGGGTGGGATTTCATTCTGAGCCCCCGCCTTGCCACAATGAAGTGTTAACAGGCTTTAATGAGGATGCATCCATCTGCTGCTGCATCCCACCCACCCAGAGGGAGAGAATCACGCAGCTCATTCCTCCAGCCTGTAGCTGTGCAGCCCTCATGGCGCATTCTGCCCGGCCCACCTCCCCCGGCGACGGCCGGGGGGCGGAGCAAGAGGCCTCCATGCACTCTCACCAGGAGCAGCTGCAGCAGCAGCACCAGCAGAAGCAGCAGGCGTTGGGGGCGCGCTCCCTGGCGGCGGGTCGCGACCATGCCGCCTCCTCGGCCTCTGGCTGCCGATTCTCCGTCTCCTTCCGCTCCGATCCCATCGGCCTGCAGGGGGCGACAGAGCACTGGGAAGGATGAGATACAGAATGGCAGAAAACCCAACTGAAACATACTGCTCAGTCTATCTATCTATCTATCTATCTATCTATCTATCTATCTATCTATCTATCTTTCTTTGTCTCATTTTTAATTACTCAAAGTAACCTAGTGTGTGGTTCTGCAGGTTAGGACTTGGAAGGTCAGCAGGTTGCTGGTTCAAATCCTGTGGTTGGCAGAGTGATGTCACCGTTGGGCCCCCTAAGCAAGGCCCTTAACCCTCGATTGCTTCCAGGACTGTCTGACTCTACTTTTTTCTCAGTTGCATACTTTGATTTGAATGAAGGTTATCTGTTAAATCTACGTGATCCCTAGAATGGATGGTCACTTGATATAAAAGACGTCACGATTCATTGATGAACAAACATGAGAGCAGTATCTCTTGTGTCATTCATTACCTGTTCCTTCAGTAATTCCTTCAATAGTTCACAAAGGTTTACAGAATTAACACATATAGTAACAAATATAGTAAGTGCTTGAGATAAAACATGCATCATAATTCATTAATGATGAATTAACATGAGATCAGCATGTAACTAAGACGTAGTTTGTGGGTAATTAATGGATAAGTAATAGTTTAATAGTGTATTATTTGTGCCTCGTCAAGTAAAGTGTTGCCATTATATCTGCATCTAAAACATGATGCTATCAGTGGTAAGAATATATTATAGAAAATTGTCATTTATCGGGGGAAACGTAAGAGATTATTCCAAGTAGTATGTGCACAACAATGTCTTCATTTTTTAAATTAAATCCTTCATTTGCTAGTTGCACAAGTATCAGTACAGGTATGCTTCTCTGTGCTCTACATGAGACACATATACAGTTGAGAGCAGGCTTGGGGGTAACTGTGGGGGGGTGGTTAAGGGCCTCACTCAAGGGCCCACAAACATGGGCAGCTGGTGGTTAAGGGCCTCACTCAAGGGCCCACAAACATGGGCAGCTGGTGGTTAAGGGCCTCACTCAAGGGCCCACAAACATGTGACTATTCTGCCACGGCTTGAACTGGTGATCTTCTAATCAAAGGTACAGGGACTTAAGCTTGCTGAGCAACTCAGTTCCCCGAATACAGGAATATTTATGTATTTAATGGCGAGACGAGATGTCAGACATGTGACTAGACACGTAGCCTGAAAACATTTCAGCTCCCGGTTCTGCACCCCATGAAATAATTAACCTCAGGTGATTGGTCGTCATCTGTCTTGGGAATTGAACACCACTACAGCAGGTCAGAGGCCCAATCAAAAACGTCCCCTGAGAAACACAAATATCATAATATCGTAGCCAATGAATAAACGTGAGCCAGTCCGACTGGTACAGTATACGAGTATCTTGGACGGAGATTGATTGTTACTGTTTGCGTGTGCCCAGACTACACTAAAGGTGCGTACGATCTTGGAAGCCCCCATAAAGCGGTCTGAAGTGAACGCAGGGCCCAAGTCAGGTGAGCAGCGTCCCATTGGACTGTCTGAAGACCCAGAAACCGTAGAGGAGACACATGCAGTTTCTGCAGAAGCACCGCTAAAAGCAGCCCCACCCCCAAGATACGATAAGATGTGCAGATACGTCACGCAGTCTAGGTCTTTAACATGTCACTTCACACACTCATCTTCGGAAACTCTTCCAATAGAGAGGCAAAAGCCATAATGATGCGATTGGAAGAAGCACAGGATTCGAGGTGGGGGGCGCCCTGGAGGGATTGCCAGTGCATGGCAGGACACACATTCACACGCTATCCAGGACAACATCACAGACATCAGGAGAATAAGCCGCCCCATGCAGGAGGCAGAATGTTTAACCCCCTGCCTTGTGGAGGCGTGAGGCGACATTGTCACCGTGTCACCTGACATGTGGCTTTGAATTTCATACCGTACTGCTTGTGCCTTGCTTGTACGTCTCTTTGGACAAAAGCGTCTGCCGAATAAATACATGTAAATGCAATGCAAATGTAATTATATAACACAATGTGCAATGTAGCACATTATATGGCAATAATTAGAAAGACAGATGTTCTTACATATTTAAAATATTAAAAACACATTTAAAAATATTCCAAAACATACATACAGCATATTCCCTAAAATACCATTACATGTAGAGACGGCACCAATGCGAACGGAGCTCTCCGACCACAATAAAATGTATATAGACTTCAGACTTCTTTCTAAAGTTTGCTTAATGACTACTTAAAAGTTTTATCTGTGCTCCATTGTATATGTTGTACTGGAGACATATGTAGACTTTTTGAGAAGATATTGTGAAATACAGTGATATTTTTACGACTGATTTCTTTATTGTTTTTAATTTGGCAACAGTGCACAATTTGCGCTTTAAGAAATACTGCATATTTCTGTTTATTTCTGTGAAAGTTGTACCTGAATAAAAGAAAGAAGCAGATTTCTGTCAATCACGTTGGGCGGGGATTTCTCCCTGTAGCGTAACTGCATAGCTTTCGTTTGAGCAGCCTGACCGTTACGTTCTCCTATTAGCATACTCGCACAATACTGCTACAACACAAAATGCAGATAGTTTGCCATGTATTTCAAATGTACTGATACAAATACCTCATTTAAAGCTTAGTAGTTGATAAATATACCACAGTAGGCAGATACTCAAAATTTTAATGTTGAGATAGAAATGGAAAAAAACAATATCAACCTATCTCTCCTTACATGCCATGTATTCTGATTTTTTTTCTCCGCTAAAATCTACTAGATTTATATATTGTGTAAATGAAGAACTTTACGCTATACATCATCAGCTACACATCTCCCAGCCGTATTATTGGGTTCTGTTCCTGTGATTGGAAGGTTGCTGGTTCAAATCCCAGGGTCAGCAGAGGGATTTCACTATTGGGCCCTTGAGCACGGCCCCTAACCTGAATTGCTCCAGGGACCGTCTGACCTGCTTTCTGAAAAATTTGTCACTTTTTGTAAAAGCATCTGCCAAGTAATAGTAAAAACAAACAAAAATGAATAACAGTAATGGCGATGATAATAATAATGATGCACAACAGAATCTAAGAACGACTCAAACCTGCGAAAAACAATCGGGACTCCCCTTGACTGAAAGGTTTTGTGGATCTACTTTACTGCCACAGTTGATTAAATATGACATGCTTTAGTTTAAGATTTATACTTCTTCTCCTTCTGGGAAAAGAAAAAAACATTTAAGTGATTTCTACCCAATTGATGCTGTATATCCTGTTTCGCATTAACCATATGCTAATTCCCAAGGCGACAGTCCTGGGGAATGGATACAACAAAACAAAGAGAATAGCGGTCACGTAACTACCCGGAGAGATTAATTAGCCACGTGTTCGAGCAGCTGGGAGCTCATCAGATAAACAAGGAGCAGGGGAACAGTTTGAGATCCAAGCGCCACATTCACGCCCAGTTTGCATCAGCAATACGGATGTTAGCTTGTCTCCTAAAACGCGCCATATACGCCCTGAAAACATCTTTACAAACCGCCTCATAACTATGCGGTTTGGTCTAGTTCACTAACTTCTAATAATAAGCAAATTTCGAAATTAACAACAATAATTGGCAGATATATCTATCCGCAACAATTTCAGAAGTGGTTACTGTGAGTTACTGTTCGCAGCAGAAGACATCTACACCACGGTTCCAGTCTGTATAAATGACCCCTTTCCATGTGACTCGAAATTGTATTTTAGTGTAAATGCCCCCGGTAACTGCAAAGGTGCGGGTATCCCTACTCCTCATGTAATGTTGATAAACACCAACAGCGCCCCCTACCTATTACATTCATATAATGCATATCACACATCTGAACGTCCATCCATCCTCCATAACCGTTTATGACTGTACCGGGTCACGTGAGCCTGGAGTCTGTCCCAGGCAGGACAGGGCACAAGGTAGACATAAACACTGTGGACAGGATTCCAGTCCATCAAAGGGCACACACATGCAGAACCACACAGTAAGGGCGATTTATAGATGCATGTCTGTTTTATGTATCACTAGATATAGTTGGATGAAGACCAACATCTAACCAAGCAGACCCCAAATAGACAAGAGTAGACGGGCATGAAAACCATTTTGCCGTGATGAACTTTAAACTTCATAAACTCAAATTTCAGCAGGTGAACGAGCAGCCCTACATGTTTTGTATCAAGACTAAAACGCGTTGTTGAATACATGTAGTATAGACTGCGTATCCTAACAAAAAATTCTGTGTTTTGATTATGGGTATTTACGTAACAAACTCTCCCTGTTTTGAAATTGTTACAAAAATGGCATATAATAGTTTATTAAATTGTCCCCATGATTATGTCCTGGATAAGCGGTTGGAAGATGGGTGGATAGATCATTAGGGCTGTGGGTTAATGATGCAGGAACATTTTCAATATAGGTAGGCTATACCTTTAAAAATACTCTGTAAAACGCTGCCCCGCGGGACATCCCCAAGACAGCGCCAAAGGACACCCCCAATGGACAGAGGGACAGACGCGTCATCATCTGGACTAGATTTGATTACGTGCCTGTATAGT